TCAGAGGAAACACAACTCCTTAACAGCTTGTAGATCTGGCATACTTCTCAGATAAACAGGTGCAAAAATTTAGTGAGTATAGGGTGGTATGCTCATTGGAGTTCTCATCACTCAACTAGATTATGAGAGTAATTTTTTTCAAAATACTGGACGATGTTTCACTTCAGAATATTCACTCAGTGGTTCTTTCTGAGCAACACCCTTTCAGTCACACGACCGTCCTAACTATTCACCAAGTGAAATGTCACTACCGTTCAGTCATCAAGTGCTCAACCTACTGACTGTCCGAGCTTTAATAACCCAGAATAAACTTCACAGTGTAGTTTGTACATTGTACATAAACCACTGCTCGATGACTTGGAATGCACAGGATCATAACATCTTTTTGGTCAGCAGTATTCCAATTACCTGACTGTATTAGCTTTTTCAAGATTGAGCAGTAATCATACAGTGCAGGACATACATGGAATTTTGCATTAATACTAAGGGCTCAGAAAGCATAGATGGCTACACCTTTTTAGTCAGAAATCTTTCAACTACCTGACCATCCTAACTGTGATCCATTGGTGTCCACCATTTAACCTGTTGGAGAAAAAACTCTTAATTGATGGGGGTCGTCCTCCAGCAGCATGTCCAGTCCTTCTTGGCTGATCATCTGCTGTTTGGATCATAACTGAGGCTGAGTTGCTGTGGCTGTTGACAGTCTGAGAGTCTTGTGGAGACTACCCTAGATGGTCTTGGAATTCACAAGTGCTAAATTCTACATTAATGACCCTCGGTTGTACTCGCTTCCCTAAACTCTTTTCCTTGGTTGTGATGAGTACTTTTACATTCAGAATAAGCTATTATTTCAGTTAAAGCATTCCTTTAAATTCTTCAACACGCGATCAAGCAAGGACTATTACTCACGTTATCGTTCCATAAACTCCACAACAAATTATGATGGCAAAGCACCAAAATATCTCTATCATGGTGATTGCAATAAAAGCTCCTCCTTTCTTGTTTGCTTGTGTTATTTTTCGATAAAAGCGATTTCATGACAAGTATGAGATAGGTAAACCCACAATATATACAGATTCAATCAAGAAATAAGGGGAGTGATCTGTAGTTGATAACTTGACTGAATTTTAAGTGTGAGAGAAATAGACAGATTGGAAATACTTAAAACACAGTGACAATAATCTTTATTTAGACGCAACAAAAAGAACAGTGCATGTCTGCATAGACTTTAATTGATCATTGAATAGATTATTTCAGTTCCTCAAGATGAATTTCTGACGAACTAGTCACAGTGAAAACAAAGTAGAACTGAACCAATAAATTGCACTCGAATCTAGAATGTAAACCCCTTCTTTGTTCAGTCAGCATCAGCACCTCGTGATCCTTTATTTCGCGACATTTGCCGACTGTGCATTCAGTTAACATCATAGTTGGCCATTAAAGACCAATTCTAACTCAGACACTTCACATAATGCTGAAATTTCTTTACAATAAGAGAACAAAGCAACTAGAACTGGACCATATACATATTGATTATAAGTCTAAAGAACCATGGTTTTTTGTATAAGTCACTAAGTAGGCCTCATTCGAAGTGTTGTAGTAGTTTTTATTCTCATATGTTAGGAAGGAGATAAAGTTTTTATAGAGGATTCAAAGGAGGGCTACTAAGATAATTATAGGTATGAATGGGCTGTCATATGAGGAAGGATGAAATCTTTTTAACTTTCTTTCTCTTGAAAATAGAATGAGTCAGGGTGGATCTGATTGAAGTAGTTAAAGCCTGTTAAGAATATTGGTAAGAATGAAACATGAAATTATTTTGTGATGAATTCTATGAGCAGTAGAACAAGCGATCATAAACTTAAAGTAATGTCAAACACATCTCAACTTCAGGCAGCTTTGACGAATTCAAATTCGGTGACGAGGAACCCACTTTGAGACTAATAATGGCTGGAGACGGCTTGAATGGGTAATGAAGAAAAACTTTAATATAAGTTTAACATAACAGCAAATGTACAACGTTTCGAAAAGGTTTTGTACCTGATGATGACAAAACCTTGTCGAAACATTGTACATTTTCTGTTATGTTAAACTTATATTAAAGTTTTTCTTCATTACCCATTCAAGCAGTCTCCAGCCATTATTCAAACAGCTTTTTTTTACTCAAATATAATGGTAAATCTCTGA